GAACTAAAGACAGCTGTAGCTTTGGAGGAAGTAAACCAAGTGACTCTGAGCTGCGTGTGTGACCTGACTGTACGCAGCCGCAGCCACACGTCACGTCATGTTAGAGGTGAACGTCCCAAAAAATACACACATGCTGTTATTTTTAGCGACAGCAACGTTGAAATCAGTCATAAAGAAACTTTTATCTGAAAAAGTTGAGCTTTTGTTTAACTTTTGGAACCTCTGCTGTGACCAAAAAAAACAAAAAAAACATTCCCTATGCATTCATCACACATGTGCTGGTGGTTACAAAGAAATGTGAAATTCTAGTGTGGGGTAATCACACGTACGTTGGAGAATTCCCTCAAGACCATCCATCCATGCATTTTCTATACTGTTTATCCTACTGGGTCGCGGGGAAACCTGGAGCCTATCACAGGGAGCATTGGGCACAAGGTGGGGTACACCCTGGACGGCGTGCCAGTCCATGGCAGGTCACAATCACGCGCACATTCACGAACCCATTCATACACTACGGACACTTTGGACATGCCAATCAGCCTACTGTGAATGTCTCTGGACTGGGGGAGGAAACCAGAGTACTCGGAGGAAACCCCCATAGCACGGGGAGAACATGCAAACTCCACACACAAGGCAGAGGTAGGAATCGACCTCCCAACCCTGGACGTGTGAGGTGAACGTGCTAACCAATTCACTATTTTAATCTTCATATTTTATAGGAAATAAATAGTCACCTGGTTGTAGGACTTCATTTTGGCTCCAGTTAAGTGGTAGAGCGGCTTGGTGTAGGCCTGCCTCATGAAGTCCTTGAAGAAGTTGTTGATCTCGGCGATAGAGATGACACACACCGTGGAGCTTGCTGTGGGCTCGGGGGAGTTTGGCTTGCTCTTGGCGAACGCAGCGAAGAGCACGTCTTCTCCTTCTTTAAAGCCCATCTCCCTGCGTAGGTTGCTTCCGGTTTTGGCTACGTGAGCGGCCTGGAGGACGTTGAAGACCATCTGGGTCGAACGTTTCCGTCTCCCTTTCTCCGAGTAAATGCACTCGAAGGGCATTTCCACGTAGTGTTGAAGCTCCAGGTCGGAGGAGCAGATGCGGACAATTCGCGTGTGGAAAGCCCTGGAGGTGCTGCTTTCTCGCTGCACAGTGAGGAAATAAACATACGAGCCACTATGGAAGGAATAGACGTAGTGCAGAGGATAATTCCCGCGCAGCGCTGGCTTTAGGTCCATGTAGGACTGCTCAGAAACATACTCGAAGCGGTCCTGGGTGTCCCACATCTTTCGTACGGAGATGGTGTGGTGAAGACGTGGAGCTGGAGATGGATCTAGTGGCTCCGAATTTGCAACGAAGAACCTCACGACTCTACCGACTTCCACGTTCACGATCCGGGTTCCGGCTGGACCTGCGACGTAACAGCTGCCGTCTTTGTTATGGGAACCCATGCAGTCCACCTCGACGTCTTCCTGACCGTCTTCCAGCAGGTACCGGCTGCAGACGCCGTTCCCAACCATGCCGCAGACGAACAGCTCGGGGTCATAGTAGGTCTCCATTATCAGGGCCATGCTGGTGTTGTTAGCGTTGGGACGTTGGCCGGTGCAGCATTCACAAGAACTGCATTGTGGGCCATCGTGCACAGATCCGGTCTTATAATCGTCGACTTTCTTGAGGTCGGCAGATAGCGCGTAAAGGATGTTGGTAGCGCCGACGTATACGCTTCCGTTGAAAACTAGAAGATTCTGGACAGGTGTGTTTGAGACAAAGCGAGGGAGGTCGTACGTCACGGAAAGATTAAGTTTGGAGATTTCGCTCGGTTCCTCGCACTGGCCAAATATGCCCCACCATAACGTCTGGAGAATGAGAAGAATGCATGCGGCATTGGGAAGGGTAATTCTCATTTTGCTTGTCTGGAGGGTAAAGAAAATGTCCGATTAGATGTAAACAGTATAAGCAGGGAAAGTTCAATATTACTGTACCTATATGATTAAAAAAAGTCAAAAATATGTCAGGTGTTATTAAACAATTGGTACAACTTGCAAAAGTATCTCAGTTAGATTTTACCGGCAGCTTATAAGTATATAAGTGTATATATAATTCTTATGAGGTAATTTATTCCAAAATCGATATCATAATCATCGTAACACCCAAGTCTAGAGTTTCCACGACGTATAAAATGAGCAGGGATGGCATCAATACTTATTTATACCAATATCACGTAACCAAAATGATCAAGATACTCAATAGTAATCAATCAGAGGTGTTGTGAAACATCTACAAAATGTTTATTTTTTACATGCAAAATCCGCATTAAACAGTAACCGAATATATCTGAAGGCCATTAGAAAACGACTCTGGAGCGAGCCCTGGTTAAACCGCATGTGTAATTCCTTCCTACGATCCCCGAAAGCACCGAAATCACTAGTTACTATTTTAAAACAAAGTGTATCATAACAAGCTGTCCTTCGGAATACGCACACGAAAATAGAAAGAAAAAAGAAAAAAAAACAACCTTGCAGTTCACCACCAACTGCTGTTAACATAATGAGCGAATTTCAAACATCTACACGACATTTATGTGGCCGTGCAGCGGCGGGGGATGAATCACTGCCGCCGGAGAAAGTGCCCGCAAGCAAGAGGCTAACTTTAGCCGGCCCTCGAGGGAGCGGTTCATAAACTCAATTAAGGCGGGCCAGGCTGCAGCCATTGAAGAGGTGATTTATCTTTTTAGTTGGCTTAAACGCTTTTCATTTAGGAGGTCTGCTCTCTAGAGCGAGAGAGACGGAGGGAGACAGAGAAGCGCTTCTTATGTTGCCTCCTGCCATCAAGGCCACTGGAGAGGGCTAACTACCCTTATCTGTGCCTCACTAAAAAGACAAACAAGAGGAGCAGCCTTTTGGACAGGAGGAACCATTTTACTGGAACTGTCCATGTGTTAATAAGTAATTTGGAAGTAATTAATCTGCGATTTACCTTGCAGCCCATTTAAACCGGATTTCACATTGCGCTTGTATCATGTAACGAAACCCAAACTGCTCGCTGATTAAACGTAAAGTGCACTACCTAGGGCAAATCGAAAGCCTCGACGCACAAACAATTAGCAACAAAACATCGTCAAGGCGCGTTGTGACGCAAAATGATTTTGAACCTCCACTCAGCAGCTCCAATCGTGTAACTTGTAAAAAGAATCGTGAGGTCGATGTCATAATCATATCATTAAACCCTTATTAATTACGCATGGAGGTTTATATTTTTCGAGACATAACCTGGAGAAAATTCCGAAAGGATAAAATCCCCTTTACAAAAGCCCTATTCGGACGGGGTTAGTTTTCAGGACATATGTCTGTAAAATAATCGTTCCTGTGGACGTCTGTGATATTTATCATCATTTCGCACGGGATAAACGATTTCTGTAGAATTACACTATACCTGACATGACTTTGGAAGTAGCTAACATCCAAACTCGTTCGGTAGATAACCTTAGTATCCGTAGACTTCACGTGTTAGCAAGTAGGCGTTTTGGGGTTGTTGTTTTTTTTGTTGTTGTTGTTCACTTCGTCATATTTTACCCAGAAGTCAATTCGCATGGAATTAGTTTAACCTGGACATCGCGTTATTGAAGATAAAAAACACGTTGTAAACTTCACCAGCATGGGGAAGGGCAGTCTGGGGAAAAAATCCAGAAAAATAAGTGACATCCTAGAGAAGCTCTGGTAATTATTACATGACCCCGCCTCCGTATAAAAAAAAAAACGGATCCCGTCCGAATACGGCTATAGACGGCTGAACATGGAGAGGAATCAAAAATCGGATGTTTAACATCCTATCAGCTGCTTGATATCATGAGGAACGCTGGAGAACTCGTCCACAACACCTCCTGAGATACCTCAGGGAAATATACCACGAATGAATGAAACGTGATATCGCGATATTACACGGTCATATCACCCAGCCCTACCGTGTAAGGGCACTTTTTTAGGAGGATATTTGGGATTTCACACAACAACCTTCAGATTTATCCAGCTCTACATGTAACAATATGTAATGTTAAATACACATGAAGTCAGCAGAGAAAAGATAAACAGTAAGTCTTGTTTTAATATTTACAAAAACAAGCGTCTGTCTATACAACAGCCTGAGGATCGACATGCGTAGAGCTTGGTTTAGCAGGACGTTGCCATGGTAACGTCACCGGAGCACCAGTTTAGTTTTATAAACAAACTTCTTTTTGTTGTTGTTGTTGTTGTTGTTTTAAAAAATTATACATATTAAATAGAGGATTTAAAAAAAACACTTACCTGTTAAAAGGTAGCCTCACTGTCGTTGACAGAAAGAAAAAAATAAATAAATATATATTTATATCCGAAATCACATCTTCACAAATTCTGTTAAGCAACACACGCGCGCGCCTGAGAGTCAGCGGTCTCGCGCAGCATCGGGCTGCCAAAAACCAAACCAAAAAAAGTTTCTCTCAGCGCTCAGAAAAAGTCTCCGCGTTTCACGTAGGTTTAAAAAATAGTAAATAAATACTACAAACAAACAAACGAGATCTCTGATTGTACCGCGATGCCGGTGTAACGCTCCGCTTTCCCTCCGCGTGCGGTTATGTATACGGACCGTTAATGCTGTTAGTGGAGCTCGCGCAGTGCGCGTGTGACTGGATCCAGTGATGGTGCGCGAGGCTTCAGGTGAACGCGGACTTTTCGCAGCGGTTTACGTCATGAGTCGCCGAGCACGCTGATTGGTCGCTGAGGGTGGAGGGTTACTTCTCGTTATAGTTTACTAAGAAGAAGAAGAACAAGAGGAAGGGAAAAAAGTTAAAATAATATCGGATAAACGAATTAGACTTCCTTTTTTTTCAAATAGAAGCGTGCTTGATTTTTTTAAATTATAATTATTAGGGGACAAACCCCCAGAGGTCTGACACAGGCTGTCTGAAGAGCAGGAACAAAATAATAATAATAATAATAATAATAATAATAATAATAATAATAATAATAATAGGGCGCACAGTGGCTTAGTGGTTAGCGTTCACCTCACACCTCCAGGGTCCGGGGTTCGATTCCTGCCGGGGCCATGTGTGTGCAGAGTTTGCATGTTTCCTCCGGGTACTCCGGTTTCCTCCCCAGGCCAAAAACATGCATAGTAGGCTGATTGGCGTGTCTAAAGTGTCCGTAGTGTATGAGTGGGTGTGTGAGTGTGTATGTGATTGTGCCCTGTGGTGGACTGGCACCCTGTCCAGGGTGTACCCCGCCTCGCGCCCGATGCTCCCTGTGATGGGCTCCAGGTTCCCCCGCGACCCTGAAAATTATAAGCGGTATAGAAGATGGATGGATAATAATAACAATAATACTAATATAGATAGCGCACATCACATGCATCGTTTGTACCTTTAACCTGAGTGGGAGTGTATAGTGCATTATTATGCATTAGTCCACTATAGAAAGTATTTACTTCCATACTGGAGAATATACAGCACACTCCTAAAATCGCACAATGCACTGCAATAGCTTAGTGTCCAAGTGATGTAACCTAGGGGATGCAGGACTCCCATAATGCACTCCACAGCTTGTAGGGAACAGGCAACTACACTTGATACAGAGTTGCAGGATTTCATGGGAACACATCTGGTGTTTGGTTTAATATTTCGCGCTCATCGCAACATAAATTAATAACTTATCTGACATACACTCTCAGAAATAAAGGTGCCAAAACGTGTCCCAGAGACCAGGCAAAGTACAGTTAAGTACCTTTTTACTGTGGGTATTCGCTTTTCCCCTGGATTTTCCTAAATATCTATCGACAGTGTCTCATAATCACTCTCATAATTCTTTTAGACTTGTATAAATAGGGGTAATTGTCCTAGGGTCATCTCTAGATTAGTAAATATCAGTCCTTATAAATGGCCGATTGTTATCTTTGGGTTCAGTGGAAATTCATCCACAAGATGCTCCTTAATGCAGCAAAATGGAGCACACTTCAACCAATAAAATCAAATTAATAATCTTGGCATGCGTATGATTTTATTTTTGCCTAAAAAAGGGTAGACATTGTTTATTACACAAGCTTATGTTTGTGTTAATGATGTGCATGATGCTTTTGGACAGTGAAGATCCGGTTGGATGGAGGGAACAAAAGGGGGGGAAAGGTCACTCTGCCAAGCTGACTCTGTAATGAACTAACCCAGCGTTGTGTGTGTGTGTGTGTGTGTGTGTGTGTGTGTGTGTGTGTGTGTGTCAGTGTCAGTCAGCTATGACACACTCGGCAAACATGATTCACTCATTCAGCCTCACCGCACCACCTGTTTCAAACACGCTTTCCGGTAAACAGCTCACATTTCACAAATATTTGAGGAGATGTATTATTCCCTGATTTATTTGCCATGCCATGCTCCTCTTCCACATTTTGTACCAGTGTTATACTAATTAAGTGCAGTTATTGTAATGCAAACTGTTGCTGTGCCATCTAGTGGTAATGCTAGTGCACTACACTCACACCTTCATGTATAATAAGCACTCCGTGTGTCACATAAAACTTGAATCACAACCATGGGAATAAAAGGGAAAATGTGCAATTTATCATACAGCTGATTTGACACAAAAAAAAAAAAAGGTGAAAATGTGTGTGTGTTTGTGTGTTTCCTGCAACAAGGCAACAATACTAAACACACAGCTTGCATATTCCAGCCAACATTTTATCCAGTTCCAAGGTAGACTAGTGATAGATTTGTTAGCTAGACCATGGGGCAAGTGGAAACTCCAGTATGCTTGCTCAATCCAATCATGTGGTTGCCTGGAAAACTTAAAGGCTAAAATAACTAACATAATTTAATAAGTCAAGCTAATTAGCTAGTTAAATGCATTTATACAGACTAAGCGAAATGACTGAGTTTATATATACACCGATCAGCCATAACATTAAAACCCCATGTCTAATATTGAGTAGGTCCCAATTGTGCCGCCAAAACAGCTCTGACCTGTCGAGACATGGACTCCACAAAACCTCTGAAGGTATGCTGTGGTATCTGGCGCCAAGACTTATGTCCTGTAAGTTGCCTGGTGGGGCATCCATGGATCAAACTTGTGTGTATAGCACCTCCCACAAATGCTCGATGGGATTGAGATCAGGGGAATTTGGAGTCAACACCTTGAACTCTTTGTCATGTTCCTCAAAAAAATTCCTGAACAATTTTTGCAGTGTGTCAGTGTGTATTATTCTGCTGAAAGAGACCACTTCCATTAGGGAATACCATTGCCACGAAGGGGTATACTTGGTCTGCAACAATGTGAAGGTAGGGGGTACGTGTTGTAAACATCTGTTATCTGCACATGCCAAACAAGTAAACAAACATCTGTGCAACCAAACACACTAAATATAACATTTGCATATTTGTTGTCTTTATTTTGTTTTAAGGGTATGCAAACTTTTGCACTTAGTAATGATGATTAGAAAGAAGACCACACAGCACATCTTCCTACATTTAAGACTTAAACCATCCATCAAGTGAGACAAACTTATTGTCCAGTTTTATTTATGACCTTGAGGTCAATACAGTGCAGGATAACTGCTGACCAGACCGTAGTGCTACTGTAAACCCTAATTGATGGTTGAATTATTACAGGTTCATTCAGGGGACACACATACATCCTCTGTTCATCAGCACAGCAGTGATTTAGCTCTCCACTTCCGCAGTCAATAATATCATTAAAGATATTGTTTCTTACAGTTATTCAGATTGGTAGTTGATATGCATGAGCAGTCCGTCATGCATGAGGACTCAAACTCTCATATACTGTCATAAACCAGACTAAACCCATACATACAACCCCTGGCAAAAATGATGGAATCACTACACTTAGAGTATGTTCACTTGGCTTTTTTACTTCATAGCAAATAAACAAATCACTCTTTAATAGGTGAACATTCCGGCTTAGTGAAACATACCTCAAACAAATGAACTTAAATTATTTTAATTAATGGCATATTGTTTTTTTCAGAGGAAAAATTCTGGAATCACTCTATGTTGAGGAACAAAATATGGAATCACCTTGTAATTTCCGTTTCTAAAACAAATACCAGCACATGTCTAAAAATGCTAATCAGTCTACAGTTAAAAGAGTTCACTTGCAGTGCTTAACCTTGGACTTTCTGAAAGGAAACATAGCTGCTACCAGAGAGTTGTCAATTGAAACAATGGAAAAGATTATAAAACTCTGTGTAAATCAAACACGCAAACACGGAGTGTGGCAAAAGATGTTGATTGAGAAGCAATCATGGAGTATGAATGATATATATATATATATTGGATAAACCTGTGTTTTGTTTGCAATTGTTTCATATCCATGAGAGCAGAGTATTTTTGTATATTCCAAAGTGTCAGTGATCCTCTAACTTACAATTTACAATTATTTTAGATGCTTTCTGAAATTTTACTTTACTGATTGATCTTAATCTGTCATTTTCCTTCCACTTTTCTTGTTGGGGGTCACGGTGGCAGCAGAATAAGAAGGTAAGTCCAGACTACTCTAACCGCATCCACAGATTCCAGCTTGATTAAACTTGGAGGATCTCTCGACGATCCCAAGCCAAGTGTGACATATAATCTCTCCAGCAGGTTCTGGGACTGCCTCTGGGTGTCCATCCAGTAGGATGTGTCTGATACAGTTCCAATCAGGGGTCATCTGCGTAAAGTACCCAAAGCACCTAAAATGGCTCCTCGCAAATCAGACTCACAATCCTTTCTCAGATTGGCGAAAATCGATGTGTTTAAAGGTGTGTAAATCGATTTGTTCAAACTGAATTCATCTTTATGGGTGGCAATAATTTTGCAAGCTATTCTATTTGAAAAGAAATGTTATTATGAGATTTTGATTCCAGTTGTGAGTCATGTGTATTTTAGACCATTCTTTTGTAGGGTGCCAAAATTGATGGATTTGCCTGTTAGTCTAAGTGTAAATTACCCACAGTAGCTGAGAAATCAAAGTAGGTGCAATCTCTCTCTCTCTCTCTCTCTCTCTCTCTCTCTCTCACACACACACACACACACACATACACACACACACACACACACACACACAGATTTTATCAGAACTTCATCACTTCATTACACAAAAACTCATGACAACAAGTACAGTTCAAGGACACAAGATTCAGAGGAATTTCCTTTCAGTAAGATTTTCCTGCCAGCTGTGAAAAGACAGAGACATGCTTGTAATTCAATGTTATTCATCCATTTCCAGGGTGATATGATTCAGTTCAGTAGAAATAAACACCTGGTGCTGATAGGTAGTAAATTAGAACACACCTTTTTGGGCTATGTGTCAAAATCAACATCGGTAGTCCCTCTAATTGCAGCCTCTGGCCTACGTCATGTGATACACACTGTTCCCCGAGGCTGTCTCTCGTACTACACGTCTTCACCTCACACAAACCTTCATATTAAACACTCTATAATAAACAAATGACTATAGTCATATATAAATCTATATCTGTAGTGTAGAATAGTATGTCAACAGTATATAGTATAGTCACAAGTACATCAATATCTAGAGAATAGTATATCTATAGAATATGTAGAGAGTATATCGAATATCTATATACATATTGTAGCCGGATCAGCCCAGGGGGGCGAAGCGTAGCACAAACACACGGGAGGCAGGTTGTAGTGCAGAAGTGAGGGAAAACCCAGGATTTATTTGTCCTTAAATCCGTAGTGGTGAGTGTGTGTGTGTGTGTTTGGGTGCGTTGGCGGGGGGGTGAAATGAGGGAAACCCGGCGGGGGCGGGGCTGGCGTAGCTGCGTCCTCCGGGCGTGTCGGAATTCCCGGAAGAGCTGGGAAGGAGCGGTTTCCTGTGCCGGTTTCTCGGCCTCACCACTGTCCTCGTCTGTCGTCGCCGGCCCTCGTCCGGGGCGGAGCCCTCTGTGAGGGAGAGAGAGGAGAGAGAGAGAGAGAGCGAACGGTTAGGTAAGCGCGTGTTTGCGCGGATTCAGTGGTAATTACCCGGACATTAGCTGCCTACATAGGGAGTTGATCCTCCTCGTTCGTGGGCGAAAAGGGTGTCCTTTATCCCCTCCTTC